ATATATATATATATATATCATCTAGACTAAGTTTCTCTTGGCATTCAAGATGGTATAGTGAAGTACAAATACGATTAATTTAAAATTTTTTTATCCATACTTAACTTTCATGACTTTTAAATCAAAGATGTTTACCTTAAAAACATGTAAGTGATTTATAAGAGATGTGCATTCTATCATCACATAACACAAACACAGCTTCAAGTGCAACTTACTGGTCAAATTTTTTATCATGTACAGCCGCAATAATTTCAATCATACGTAGCAATGCCCTTTTTCTTCAAAACATCCTGTAAAAATCTGATTAGATAAATGAACATGAATTTAAGAATTTCTTTCAATTTTCACATTGCTTCTTCTCCAACTAAATATGGTGAGGGCATCTTTTTGAACATAAATAATGCATCATTAATATTCATCTATGCTAAGATAGCTCACATCATAACCTGCTAAAGTAAAAAAATCTATTGTAGCAATCTATACGAGGAATGTCGTACTTTACTGTTGTCATCGTCAAGATAAAAAATTGACTCTGATAGCTCTTATTATAACTTGATATCAAATCAATGTAGCAAATAATAAAATAAATAAAATAAAGACAATATTATATATGGAAAACTTAAGATGGGAAAATTCATTCATAGAGAAAGAGAATTCACTATGTCTAATGAGAGATCATAAGTCAATAGCTTTGAGCAACATAGAATCAATGCAGGGAAAAATAAGTTTTTTTTTGTATAAAATAAAGTTTGATATTCATAATTTTAGCATGATCCCTTAAAGGAAAATAATTAAATGGGAGCCAATAAAGCAAGGACACGCATTTTGTAATAATTTAAAGGTTATTAGAAGATTGATTAAAAGGTAGAAGCCTTCCATTTGTGTGCTCACAATTTCCTTATGAGACAAGTAAGACCCACATAATTTGGATCACAAATTTAGCAACAAGTTTATAATCACATTTTCAATAAAGCAATAATTACCCTCAACATATTCTTATTCATTTATTCTTGTATAAATTTCATCATT